ACTTTTTGGGTACATAAACTTTGTATGCCGTATCACTTAGGTCCATATCCCGCCACGTGCTGGCTTCTTGGCAATGCATTTTGTCAACGACTTGTGGTAGCGCCACTGCGTCGACATGTCTTTTCTAAAAAAGCAGCTCTTGGCAATGCATTATGTCAAGCACCTTGCAAAGATACTTAAAGCAACTAAGGGCGGGCTAGCTAGAGCCTCCTAAACAATTCTAGGAGCAAGGTCACACAAACCTATGCCACTATCGTAACAAGGATGCTACACATGCTAGTCAAAAGCACAAAGCTAACTTGCTCACTAGCAATGCTCAATAACAAGGACCAATGTTCATGATGCGCAAAGATCTTAGCTACACAAACTAAGCAATGTGACTAACAAGGTTAAAACCAAATTAGCCGCACAAGTTGGACGACCTCGTGCTACACAAGCTTAAGATATATATATAAGTAATTGCAAGTGTAATGGGGATGCAAACCAACGGGAAGAACAAGGTTGGACGATGATTTTTCTCCCGAGGGCCGACGCTAGTCCCCGTGTGTCGACCGCTCACTTGGTGGTTTGGCTAATTAGCATCACACGAGCTAAGCCCGACATGGGCGAAGTCTTGAGGAGGGGAGCCTAGACGCCCACAATGCCCCTCACAAGTCGGTCAAGACAAGCTTCTTTGCGCCTTGACGGCGTCTAGGTGGTCCTCTCCTATAGAGGCAGGTGATCACCCGATGACGGTGCGGCACGAGCCACTCGCACAATCGATGATCGCTATCACGACCGCCGATTCGCACTCCAAGCATGGACACTAAGTCCCTTGAGGTGCTCCACACCAGCCATGGAGAGGGTAGTGCTCCACCGTCGCCTTCATGGTGTCGCCCGGTTGTTGATGGCGGCCACCTCCACGATGCCCCAGATGTTGAGCATGAGCGCCAAAGACGATGGCGTCCGGGCGGCATGGTGAAGAAGAGCCCCGCGGCGACAGCAAATTCATCAGACGAAGCTTGCCCGACACGCAGAGCTCCACAAACAGCTCCAACGCGCACCACTTCTCCGACGCCTCGGACCTGGTGAATATGGATGAAAATGGATCGGATACGAACGGATATCACTCATATTATATTTGTTTTCATATTTTGCATTCGGATTGCATTCATTCATTGACACGGATAGCGTTCGGATACATATACAAAGAATGTTAGCCACTCAACTGGATTGATGCTAAGTTCGAGTGGCACGGACACGAATAATGAGTATCGAATACGGCATGAATCGGATTCGGAGAAGGTCGGATACAAATATCTATTCGGATATTGAGTAAAAGCGGCATAGCATCGTGATATTGCGTTCATCGATCGGTACATTGACTTGAAGCATCGGGCGCAAGAGGCGTGTGGGGAATAGACCCCTATACTCTCATGGGTATACATGGGCCAAGTCTTGTCTTGACCGGAAGTGGCCCATGACTCAATGTCAAAGGTGAAGCGTGCGAACCACGACATTATATTGTAATTGTACCAAATTGGATACTTTACTTGTAACCTTGTCCTCGCCGGAATATATAAGGAGGGCACAAGGGTCCCTAAGAGGACAGATCACATTTCACCTCACATCAATCGGAGGAATAACGGGACACAGGACGTAGGTATTATGCCACCACGGTGGCCGAACCTGTATAAATCTTGTGTCTTGTGCCTCTGTAACCATCCGGTTCATGTCTTGCGCACCGTCTACCGACAATCTACCATCATGGGCATACCCCTAGATTGACTGCCGACCATATTTCGTCGATAGTGGCGCGCCGGTAGGGGTCCTCTAGGCAAATAGGGGGTGTGCGTACAGACTCCCAGACAAGCTAGATGGCGTACTTCAAGATCAGCCCACGTCGACAACAAGCTACGGATTACGTCAGCAACATCAACAACTCGTCGTGGTCTCAATCGGCACAACAGAGTCGGTGACTTCAGGCACAATAGTTTTCGTCAAATCTGATCATAATCTTTCCTGAAGTGCATGCGTTTGTGCCCTATTCGACATGCAATGTGACTCCTCTGGACTTCCGTCAAATTGCATTCACAAGAACAGAAAGAGCCATGTAGCTGCATGTACCATCGTTCCAAGATGAGATCCAATCTACATGCAAGACTAACCATCAGACATGCACGGCGGCAAGGTGCACCACGTGTGAACTTGGGCCCATGAGGATGCTGAGTTCGACTTCGGCCCACGCACGCTCGCTAGCCTGCCGAAGACCAATTCCGAGTTCAACTCAAGTCCAGCAGATGCCGACTACAACTCCAACCCGGACAAGACAGCATTGAAGACAGCAAATCAATCTAATTATGGATATGCATGTGTGTGTTCGTTCTCATGCACATGTATATCACGGAGCCAAGACCGAGTACTTCACAACTACAGCAGGCTAGATCTGTACACCATGCAAGTCAATCAATTACTAAGGAGCTCTACTACACTCTTCATGGCCATACGTTTCGACCACGTCCTAGCTTCGTCGACCATGTCCCGAGCGGCTCCGCCGAGCTCCGACCACCTCGACCACCAGACCACGTCGACCACGTTTCGAGCGGCTCCATCGAGCTCCGACCACCTCGACCACCAGACCACGTCGCAATGATGATCACCACGAAGAATGGCGCTATGACAACCGCGACCACCGTCACAACAGGCCAAAAAGTATGAGGATCGGACAACTTTATCGCCATCGACCAGATTTCTATCCAAAGATAAGTACACTTCTAATATTTATATTTGACACAATTTTCATTACGACGTTTCTCCACAACGTCCTCCTCATGATTATTCTTCAAATAACGTTTGACCATGTATACCATCTTAAATATAACATACAGCTATACTTAATGCAAATCCTCGACCAGTCATGTTGACGCTCGATGCCTCCAGAGACGGCCCTGTCTTCGGCTCCTCCCTACACGTGCACGAGCGTCTACCCTCTGCGTTATGGGTGGTCGGCAGCGGCTCCTTAGCGACGCCTGTAACTCCAACACGTGCACGGGCTCCACGCTCGACGTTATGGACTATGGGCTAGGTAGGGCTGGGGACTCAGCTACACACTAACTGGTCGGGCAGTTCATATTAAGTATAAACACAAACTTCACATTAACACTGATGTTTACAAAGCACCAACTGCTTTATCACATCATGCTCATTTGCAAATGACTGCTGAGCGTCATATGCTATTTCTTCACCGCTGATTTTTTCTCCATAATTTATTACTTTGTACATCATGTACTACCATTCTACATATTTATATTGCAGGAATTTCGAGCTACGCTTGGGAACTTCGTCGCTCGCTCCTCGACCTATGCTCGGGGACTGCCTCGTCCACTCTCCGACCACAGCTCAGGGACTTCGCTGCTCGCCCCTCAACCTGTGCTCGGGGACTGCCTTGACGACTCTTCGACCATAGCTCGGGGACTTTGCCGCTCGCCCCTCAACCTGTGCTCGGGGACTGCCTCGACAACTCTCCGACCACAGCTCGAAGACTTTGCCGCTCGCCCCTCGACCTGTGCTCGGGGACTGCCTCGACCACTCTCCGACCACAGCTCGAGGACTTTGCGTCTCAACTACATGTGACTAGCGACTCGCATACAATTGGGGTATTCTTTCTCGTTTAGACCTTGCTACAAGGCTCATACCTCGCCTTCCAGCTAGCTCGGGGACTACATCGGTACGATGCACCTGTCGGTGCATCTTGTATCGCCTGTACGACGATTGGATTCTCAACTTAACTGGGAATTCTTTTTAGACCCTGGCACCACGTGCCTACGTCACCTACTACCAGGCTCGGGGACTAAGTGGGCACACTTCACCTTGCGGTGAATGTGCTCGATCTGATGGATCAAACGCCTCCGATTCTATAAGGACGACGGTGTCTCTTCTCGACTCAGAGTCAAAGTGGGCACACTTCGGGGGAAATATTTTTCAAATTTTATCTTGAGCCCCTTACATCCTTCTGGCAAGCTCAAAACGGCGCTACTCGAAGGATACAAGGCGCTCGGGGACTAGCTGTGGGGGAATAGACCCCCTATACCCTCATGGGTATACATGGGCCGCACCACTGGAAGTGGCCCAGCCCAAAGGTGAAGACGTGCGGAGCACGACATTATATTGTAATTGTACCAAATTGGATACTTTACTTGTAACCTTGTCCCTTCGGAATATATAAGGAGGGGCAAGGGTCTCCCAAGAGGACAGATCACATTTCACCTCACATCAATACAGAATAACGGGACACAGGACATAGGTATTACGCCACCACGGCGGCCGAACCTGTATAAATCTTGTGTCTTGTGCCTCTGTAACCATCCGGTTCGTGTCTTGCGCACCGTCTACCGACAATCTACCATCATGGGCATACCCCTAGATGGACTGCCGACCATATTTCGCGCGGTGACCCTGTGTGCATCTGATGTTCGACGCCGAGGCAGTGGCGCTCGCCCACAAGCTGTTTGACAAAATGCATTGCCAAGAGCTGCTTCAGAAGGACATGTCAGCAGGTCACGTCAGCATGAGAAGCCCGCGTGGCGGGATATGGACCTAAGTGATACGGCATACAAAGTTTATGTACCCAAAAAATCACTTTGGAAGTTGATGGACCTAACCGAAACCCCCTCACAAGTTAATGAACCTCTAGTGCATTTAACTCCTAGTGATTTATTATTTGCATCTGTCCCGAATTAACTCTACTATATAGAACTAAATAGTTGTATATATATATATATATATATATATATATATATATATATATATCATAGGTGCGCAAACCATTACACCACTCTATGAGTCCATAATCCATCTAGATTAAGCCGAAAGACTAAAGAGCAAAGCAACAAATAAGATAAAGATACAGATATATCATACATCAAACATCATACAAGCACAAATCTTCGCGGCATGAGTAGAAATAGCCAAGCTCATGGCTTCATGGGTCTCATGGTCATGGGTATGGACATAGTCATGGCTCATGGGTCATTTGCATTGAGAACTTCACCCATATCAGCATTTGCATTGGCGGCACCTTCGTCGATCTGAGGATCCTGAAATTGGCCTAGCTCATGGTTGTAGTGGTGCCTTCTTCTCAAGTGGTGCCAAAAATGCATAGTTCCACGCCAAGGTTCAGCACGAGCCTTGTAATTGCACCTATTGCATTTCGCCCAACGCTGTTCCTCTATGACACCGTCTTTTTGGTGTCTCTCCATGTACATAGTATAGTGTTTCCAAAGCCTTGACATTTGAAAAGCTATTCAAAATCCACAGAGGTGAAAAAACAAATGATTAAAGGTCATATCCGTAGATGCAAAACATAAATGGATTAAGGGTGGTGGCTGGTGGGTCATGGGTGGACCAGTATACCTTCAAGGCTTCAACCTTAGTGATTGAGGGTGGTTGCAACCTGCAAGCTAGCAAGCGCCATCAGCCCTTCAACCAGCGGCCGACGGCCAGGAAGCAAGCTAGCAAGTGCCTTGAGCCCTTGAGGCTTCGGCCCTTCAACCAGCGGGCAGTGACCAGGAAGCAAGCAGCCGTCCCAAGCAAATGGGAGTGGCGACCAGTGGCCGGCGGCCAGGAACAGGAAGCAAGCAGCCGGCGACGAGGAAGCAAGCAAATGGGAGTGACGGCTGTCGGCTGGGGTGGGGACTGGGGAGAGGACTGAGCGGCTAGTGGCTGGGAAGCGGTCAAATGGGAACTTATATATGGGCCAGCTAGCTTAGCTAGGGTTATAGAGGATTGGGCCGTTTGGGCAAGAAGTAATATTTTGGCTCAATTCCAAAAATCACAATTCAAGACAAAAAAAAATCAAAAAATTATTGTTTGAGGCCCTAAATAAATTCAAATGAAAATGTTGTAATCAACAAAGTTTCATAATTTTTTGGGATCTAAAATTTTTATTTTGGTTGTTTCTCCATCTGAGATTCTGAGGTCGTTTGAAAAATCCAAATTTTAAATTTGAGAAATTCAAACGTAGTTTTCCTTGACAAGATGATTTCAAATAAAAAAGTTTTCAACTACAAAGTTTCATAAATTTTTGAGATCTACAACTTTTATTTAGTCATTTGTTCATCCGATATAGTGGTAGTAACATTACTCACGAATCTCACATCTCTCTCTTATAGTTTATAAAACTACAAGAGAGAGATGTAAATTTTATAAACAATGTTACTACCACAATCTCGGATGAACAAATGACCAAAATAAAAGTTGTAGATCTTGATGAGTTTTACAACTTTTATGTTCATGACTTTTTCAGCTGAAGTCATTTAATATTTGAAAATGATGTTTGATTTTGCTATTTTTTAAAATTCAAAATTCAAATAGATAGAATACAGTCACATGAAAAGATGGACACAATAATAGCTATAAGAACACAATAAATTGATAGAACATGATTTTAAAAAAAAATAGAAAAAAATTATCAAATTTGAAGTTAGTACGAGGGAGAAAAATTAGTTACAAGTTTTAGCCAAAGATTAAAAAGAGAAATAGGCGTTCTTTAACCATTTCGAAATTGAAATTCAAATAGTATTTCGAAGCACTAAATGATTTCAAATAAAAAAGTTGTAAACAACAAAGTTTCATAACTTTTCGAGATCTACAATTTTTATTTTGATCATTTCTCCATCCAAGGTTGTTTAAAAAAACGAATTTTAGTGCTAATTTTTTATTATTTGGCATCTATTTTGGTCTTTCCTTTTTGTAGCAGTAAACAACACAGGCACACAGCGTAAGCACAACTTGAATTATTTAAAATAATCACAGCTTAGATTAAAAAAGATGGCAAGCATCACCAGATATTTTATATAAGCAACAACTTGGATTATTTAAAAAAAATCACAGCTTAGATTAAAAAAGACGGCAAGCATCACTGGGCTTTATATATCACATATTCATATCACATCACACAATTCATTGGACTTAGCACAAGCATCACCCGACAGGTTCATTAGTCACATGCTCGAGTCAGTCACAAGCTCTCAGAGCCACATAACTTTTCACAGTGCAACTACATATTCCAGGCTGGTATAAGCAAAATTTGGATTATTTAAAAAAATCACAGCTTGAAAAAATACTATTAAGCATCACTTGAATTTTGTGAGAGAAAAATATTGTTAAATTTGAAAAAAGAAGAAACAAACAATCATTTTTAAGACAAGCACTGAACAAGGGCCGTGTCATACTGGTATACATCCAGAGATCACATCAAAAGACAAAAGAGTGCATCAGCCATAAAAGCAGCAACCAGCCGTCCATCTTCAATCTTCAGTAGTCCAAATCCAACCGTCCATGTCATCCAAGTCGCTGTCCTCATGGTCCTCGGCGTCGCCACTGCCTTCTTCAGTAGCCTGGTTCTTAGTCTCAGCCTACAAAATGTAGTGCAAATCAACACCTGAGGCCTAGAGGTAAAACAATATGTGCAGATCACATACTAACAATACTTTACTGAAAATAATAATTACAAACCTCATCTGCTAGAGTGCTGACAGTATCACAAAAGTCTTCGAGAATTGATGCTATCTTATAGTTGCGATCTGAAAATAACATGGCCACGTAAAGTCATAAGTTAAAAAAATAAAGTTAAAGCTACAGGTTGTAATAAACAATTCAGTGTTACCTTGCTTAGATGCAAGGCTCCAATCTTTTGAACAAACTAGTGCCTCGACCATCTCAGGATCAAGGCGAGTGCGGAATTTATTAACAATACGCCCACTACAACTGAAAGCTGATTCTGAAGCAATAGTAGACACTTGGACAGCCAACACATCACGAGCAAGTCGTGAGAGAATAGGATATTTCGCTTGGTTAGTTTTCCACCATGACAGTATGTCAAATGCAGCACCACTACCACTAGGATCAACCCACCGAAATGGTTTCTCTGCCATGTATACATCCAACTCACTTACCTCACTACGATTCACTTCGTCCTCATACAAAAATTCTTCAATATCAGCATTTTCCTCATATGTGTGAGCTGGAGCTATAATAGGTTCAGATTGTGCACTAGCCTTCAGATGTTTGACTCGGTATACTAGACAAGTAGGCTTCGAACAATCGTTTCACAACATCCATGATCAGACTAAGTTCAGCAGGAGCCCTGTCTTTATAAATCCTTTGTAAGAAATATTCTATTAGCCTTTTCTTGTACCTAGGATCGAGAAACATGCCACAGCAAGGGCAATGTTGGACTTTTTCCAATACTTGTCATATTTCTCTTGCATGGCCTGAGCCATAGAAGCAATAAGTATATCAGCACTTGCACACCACTCTGTAATTGCTAACTTTATGTCACAGAATTTCCACCAAAACATGTTTGCTGTTGGATATTGAGTTCCAGAAAACAACACCGTAGCATCATTAAATAACTTCAAACACTTGCAAAAAGATGCAGCCATCTCCCATTCATCATCTGAAGGAGCACAATGCTTATATTTATCCTTATGTAAATACACTAGCCTGTCAAAAGCATTCCTATAATAAATAGTATGACTCAACATCTCATATGTTGAATTCCATCTTGTAGGAACATCCAATGGAAGACCAGATTTATTATTCAAATTAAAAAAATCAGCACACTTTTCAAATTACTCCCACTGCAATGGAGAGTTCTTCATAATAACAATGATAGCTCTAATATTTTTAACTGCAGATCCAATCACTGTCAATCCATTTTGAGCAACCAAATTTAATATGTGACATAAACACCTTACATGGAAGAAAATACCACCACATATCAAAGGAGGATACTTCTACAGCTTAGCAAGTTTATTAAGCTCCTTCACAACTGATATCACACATTTATTATTGTTCGAAGCATTGCCTAGGGTGAGTGCAAATAACCTCTTTTCTAGGTTCCAAGACATGATTCCCTTGATAAATTCACTTGCCAGTACAGTCCCTTTATGTTGCCCTTTAACAAAAGGAAGGCAAATTATCCGTTTTTGCATTTGCCAGTTATCATCAATCCAATGAATTGTGATGCACATATAGCCTTTGTTTTGATTAGAAGTCCACATATCCATAGTTGCAGAAAACCGACAAGATATAGTTTTAAGTTGGTCAAATAACTTCTTCTTTTGAGCTAAATGCATGTCCAATATCTCTTTCCTAGTGGTTATACGACTCTTGAATGAAAAGTTAGGGCGCAAAGACTTGATGAAATCAACAAAGAACTCATGCTCAGCCATCACAAAGGGATATTCATGCATGACAATTGCTTGATAGAACTTTTTCAGGCTAACTTCAGGATCATATTTATAAGTTTCAATGATATCTTTACCTTCACTCTTTTCAACTTTAAGTTGCTGCTGCCCTTTCTTTACATCGTGCTTTGCATTCACATGATTCCAAAGGACTGTTGTTCCCTTATTGGACTCACCACGAGTTTTGTAACTGCACTTCTTGCATTTCGCCCAAACTTGTACCTCTGTCGTTCCATCATCTCTCTTGTGTGTCACTGTGAGCTTGGTGTAAAAATCCCAAACCTTTGAGGTAGTCTTCTTTTGTCTCTTTGTAGAAGGTTCAACTCCCGCACTGCAAGTTCCATTTACTCCAGTCTCTTCCTCGGTAATGACAACATTTGTAGCACCTCCACCTCCAGCAACTGTGGTTGTTTCCTTCAATGCCAGAGTAGCAGGAGGTTGGGGGTTAGGTGCTGATTCACCTGTGCCAACCGGAGCAGTAGCAGGGGATGCTCCCGTGCTTGCACATACACTCTCATTTGCACTAGCAGCAGCCATCCTAAATCCAACATATTCAAAGAAAAAACCAACAATCGTGAGCCTGACATAGAAGCTTATGAAATCGAAACCCTACTGGGTAACTAACTAACTACCCTAGGATGGGTTGGAGGCTTGGAGCATAGGAGAAGAGAGGCGTTACCTGATCTGTGGACTGTGGGTCTGTGGTGGTGGCTGGCCAAAGACAACGGACGACGACGGCACGACGCACAAGAGTACTTCACGGTAGCTTCATTCCTCCTCCTCTTGCTCTTGCGTCCACTCCTTCAAACGCCGACCAACACACCACAGGTTGCCGGTGCAGATCCGATTAACCCGAGATGCGAGCAGCGGAGAGGGCGTACGGGTTGCGAGTTGCGAATGCAAGGGGCAGAGATGGAGTAGGGCAGCAGGCGTCAGCCGAGCAGCGGAGGCCGGAGGGTCGAAGGTGGCAGCCGGCGGAGCAGCAGAGATGGAGCAGGCCAGCGGCGCGAGTGCGGACCGTCTATGGGTTTCAACTAATAAATAAGTTTTGGTGAATCTATGTTTGTAATAGGATTTAATCAGAAAATCAGCAAAGAGAACATATTTATCAAAGCAAATCATGTTTATCTCACGATGAAACCAACATTAGAAGACTCTAGAACCATCCAAAAGACAACCCACCGAAGATCGAGCCAAGAGGCTAACAGATGGGGCCGACCACCACTAGGCCGGCCAGCCTAGGGGCCCACTAGTCAGTCCCTGCTTCATATGTTGGTTTTCCACCGCCTTAAAGATTAAATCTACGGCGTTGCTCAAGGTCGGTTTGATCCAAGGGTCCAAATTTGATGATACCCCCTATATATATGCCCCTGTACACCCTCCAGGAGAGCCATCCCAAAACCCTAATTTATATTCTTCTCATCAGGATCAGAGCCAGCTATCAATAGAAGATTAGTCCTCCATAGGATCTAGCCTTACAATTAGAAATAGTGAGATAGAGAGTGAGGGAAGAGTTTGGATGAAGTGCTGGCCTGTCGGTGCTCTCTCTACGGCTTGTACCTTGGCGGATTCGAGTTCTACTTGAGCTTGCATCGGTGATTTCTCTAGTAATCAACTTCTGATTCAAGTAAGTATCGTGTTGATATTGTTCTTCAGGTTTGCAACTCTTTTGAGTGCTTTAATCTATTGGCCATAGGTTAAAGTATTAACCGTAAGTGTAAGCGTGGTACTTAGACTTAGGTTAATCGTGGATGCACCCTGCATTCTGGACCAGTGGTAGATAGCGAGGGTGACTATATAGCCACGTTGAGTCCTTTATAGTGTGTATAGGCCAAGTAGGACCCGGCTACTACAAAAAACATCCTCTGATAGTGTCTTTCCTTAATAATGTCCCCAGATGAATAGTAGAAGACATAGCTTACCCCAGTCAGAATTAGAAAATCTTAGTAGTCCTCTCTACGCTCCTATTTATCCTTAAACTTGTTGCTAGCCCTAGTTAAGTTAGACTGTACTTAATCTCACACGTTTTCCCTATGGATACGATACTTGAAATACTTCCGGGTGAAAACTACAACGGTATCCGTACGCTTGTGGATTTATCTGTGTGCGTCTAAAATATACCAACACTTGCCGCTAGCTAGAGATGGTGGACGACGAGGGCGTGTATGGATCTTGTACCTCCTTTTGTTCCTTTTGTTTGGTATGAGCTCGCCGCTAGTAGGTTGGCTTGGGATGCAGACCACTAATGATTGACTTGATTTGGGGATCGTTTTGTTTGTTGCTAGGGTTTCGTTGTTCTCACTAGAGATTAAAGTAGAAGGATTATGTACCAGAGACGTAGAAAATTATACACAAAGGGATGCACGATTAAGTGGGATGTTGAAGTAGGTTCATTTTTCTTTGATTTGCTGTTACAAGCCTGCGCAATGAGTTCCAATGGTCTAGTAGTTAGTCTCCAAGTGTATGGTTCTTTCACAAAAGGATGTGCGAAGATATCAGACTTGAAAATGATTTTCAGATGCATGACTTGTTTGAAATGTATAAGGATCAGATGCAATGCAAAGTTATTATAGGGGTGTTTGACAGTTGTCTTAAAGAAACTGATGAGTTTGTTGCTTTAGATCCAATATGTGTGATCCCACCATACTTTTTCTGCTCATGATAACCATGATAAGGACCCAATAGCAAAGACATTCCACCAGGGGATGCAGATACCATTAGCCCTGATGACAACCATGCAGCCCAGCCCTCATATAATCCCCCTGGAGATGCAGACTATCCATTAGAGCCTAAACTTGAGCCTGTTGGTATTTCTTAATGCATACAAAAATAATCCGCAAGCGTACAGAATTACCGTTGTAGAACTTCATCCGAAAGTATTCAGGGTATCGTATTTTTCACTAGAAACAAAGATACTCTTCTAGCTAATTTGTCTAAGGACAACACAAGGATAGAGTTGGCGAGAGTAGAGAAGGATTCCTATGGCTTTAGGGTCTATGAAAAGATAAACTCTATTATTACTTGCTTACTTCGGGCACCGGATTGCACCTGGTCTGCCAAGCGATGTCGGCCTATAGCTCTACGCCAAACCTGAATGTGGGGGATTACGAGGGACGGATAGGGTTGTTGCCACCTATCGCCTACCCCTCAACTATGGGGCACGAGACAAACGAAGGTAGCCTCTAGCCTAGCTAGACACCACGACAACGCTATCAACTACTACTCTAGTGTCGTACATGGTTATTCATCTTCATTAGGGCCCTCTACTAGAGTATCCGTTATGAGAATGGACGACGAACCCGCAAGTAAATAGAGTAAAGTTTAGCTAATCAAAAGACTTAATACCATAAGAATCACGAACACTCACTTAGCGGAAGAATCCGTCAAGGTATAGCATAGGTGTTCGTCGAGGTACAATCTTGGGGAGATTACCGACAAGTCCAGCACTTCCCTGTACTCTCCCTCATATCTCTCACTACTACTCAACTCTAGCTAGCTAGGGCCTAAGCCCTTGGAGTGGTCCTCTTATTCCTCAAGTGTGGTATAGCTCTTCTCCTTGTATATGTTGTATCTTGGGGGGGGGGCTCTCCCTCCTTTTATAGGAGGTGGTTGGTCGGTTCCTATTTACATCGGATTTTGAATGGAGACACGGGAACCCCATATTTGGGTGATTCGTTAAGAGACCACGATGTCTATGGAATCGGCTAATCCGATCGTTATCGGAATCGGCTAATCAACTATGACGTCATCATCAGACCAGACTCGGATTCTACCGATAGAAAGGACAAAAGCGGCCAAGGCAAAGACGTGTCAAACTTCATAGAAAGGAAAGGGTGAAGTCCAAGTTTTCTTAATTTAGGATGTTTTCTTTTATTCCAAGTTTGCAATAGTCTTGTTCTATCAAGAGGACTCGTGTTTAAGCCTTGGGTATAATTAAATAGTATACCCCGGCTATTGTAATGAATATCTCAATCAATCAAACAACCCATTCAATTATCTTTTTCGGCTTTCACGCCACCCATTAGGAATAGAAGTAAGGTAGATCTCGGCGAGTTCTTCAGTAAGCAAGGCTGCTTCTGTTTTTTATCTCCGGTTTGCTTGTCAGTACCGTCACGACTTTGTATCATTATTTGTAAAGTTGCATCGTTTGACCTCTTACACATCTTGGTATGAGTTAGTTATCGATTTTTATCTTGTTTAGCAAGGCTGCATCATTTTTCGACCTCGTTGCTAGATTTGATATTAATCCACGAAAAAATAGCACGCTATTTCGATGCTATAGCAGCCCACAGGAACTGGCGCGACGCAATTGCTCATTTTTGCGCTATGCGCGCTATTGCCACTATTGCGCGCTAAAGCGCCGCTAAGTGCGTTTAGCGCCATAGCGCCGCTAACCAGCCGCTATTGCTCTGCCTGTGCTGTGGATGTGGAATGCAAAGTGTGTACTTCATGAGTTTATGGCTTTATGCATTTAAGCTTTAAAGTTTAATCCCTTTATGATTGTTTGGCTTTGCATGTATGAACCTCATGTGGTTACGTTGCCTGTTTGGCTATCTGCTACTTTGCTCTTATGATTATTATGGTGGATGTTATCAGTTATCACTTATGAGTTATGAGTTATCAGATTGAGATATTGAGTGATTGAGGATTGATATATTTTTATGTTTTCTGGAATTGTAAACAAATAGCGCGCTATAGCGTGCAAATAGCGGCGCTATAGCGTGAGCAGTCAGCTGGCGCTACTGCATTTAGCTGCCGCTATAGCGGAGCCATAGCGCGCCGCTATAGCATTCGCTATAGCGCCAATAGCGCCCAGGACAGCCTCATGCTAAAATTGATAGCTCGCGGTTTAAAACGTTGATATTAATCGAAGTCATCGATCTTGTTATGTTTAGTTTTACTAGATTTAACAATATCACCAATTTACTCGATCATGATTCAGATTTATTGGTGCGGCGATCTGCGTCGTTAACCGATACAATCAGGTTTTAGAACGCGGTGCGCGTGTACGTCGAAGGCGTGTGTTGCACTACACACGTCCTGGACCTGGATATTGCAGCCACCTTCCTCAAGCTAACCAAGGCTAGCTAATGATATTGGACAATGCTACGGGTAATAGTTCAAACCAATCGGAGACATCGATTTATTAGATTTTATAAATTATGTTTAAATAAATAAATGGCCTTAAGTACAACACACTAAGGGCCGCGCCGCATGGTTTTTTTAGTGTGCACGCCGGTTGGTTCATCATGTATATATAGTAGTCACAAAATGCAATGGGGGCATTTTGAAAAATTTCTATTGTTTTTTTTTTCACAAGAGTATAATGCACTCGAGTAACAGTCCTGGTGGTATATTTCCATTTTATACCTATTGGCAAGCTTTGAAATGACCGGTTCAAAGCAGCGGCAAATTTGCAATTACCTCCACAAACTAGTCGCTCATATTTATTTACGAAATCATCTAGAGCATGCAGCAAGCACGACTGCACGAGTCTTGAGTTCTGAGACCTACCTACCTGCTGCTCATCCTTTTCC